TATAGTTACATTCAGATTGTAACAAAAATGAAATATATTTATGTATTCACTTTTCTTACAGAGTATAGTAAACCTCTCTGACACTCTTTCCTCCACAATCTTGTCCTTGCCCACATAGGAAACCTGACACTTAAAGACAGCACCCTTGTGCAGAGATATTTGGGGGACGAAGGTGAGAGCGGAGATCAGGTGAGACCCCTTCCCAGAGGAGTGGAGTGGCCCCTGAGTGTGCAGCTTGTAGTACCCCATCTCTCCTCTGGAGGTCAGGAGAGGACCTTTCTCTGAAGCTGGGGAGGTGAGAGTTAGACCAGAGGGGAGATGGATGGTGGTTAGGGGAGTGTAAAGGCAATTAAAGTTAGACCTGGAAGTCCCTATATGCATTTAATGCAGGGGGATTATGGAGACATTAGTGAAAAGAGAGTCAGTTAAACATGCAGCTTCATCAGTTCACATATTTTACCTTTACTCCTGTAAAGTTGCTTGCATGATGTAAAGATATAATATTTCTTTCCTTGAAAAATATATTTGACTGAAATACATATTTTTATAAGTTAACACCTAATATACAAAACACTTTGCCTTATTTATATGTTTTACTTTAAAAAACACAAACAAGTCAGTTCCTGTTTTCCTTAAAATAAAAAATGCTACTTCACTTTATAAATACATTCAAAGCGTCCCAACCTGTAAGTGAGGTGTCACTGATGGGAGTGTCATTGAGAAACCATGTGGTCTGCACCCTGTCCACCCGTCTGCCCTCGATGCTGACGCTCACCCTCCCCTTTTGACCAACAATGACACGGGGCGGGAGGATGATTCTTGACACCGTGAGTGACTTCTGTTTCTCTGAGTGAGGTAAGATGGAGCAAATAAGAGCATTAGAGATAAAAGGTGAAAACAAAGAGGAAGGAATCTAAATAAGGACAGTTGCTTCATTGAGCGTGATGCCTTACATAAGACCCTGATTGCAAATTCCATGATGTGCCATTCAGCCAAAAATACTCACTCCTCTTATTTTACATACATTCTTCCTTAATCCATAGAGTTTTGCTTTATTTCAGCCTTTCAAGCAATAACAGCTTTAGGACTTAAAGGACAGCTTCCATATTATTGTTACCATACTTTCTATGGATCATTTATAAGGTCACACACTAATGTTGAATGAGAACCCACCCCCAAAGTAGTTTTTTTTTAAAGCTAAAAATAAAGATAGACTTCATTTTAGTGGTGCTTTGAAGCCATTAATAAGCAAAGGTCAAAGTGCACCAATGAATGGCTTCACCAGAAAAAGTTTTTATTAGATCTTTGAAGAGGCCTTGCCAGAGTTTGACCATAAATCTGCCAGAAAATCATTAAGGTTCAGCCACAGAGGACATGGAACAAGAAATGTCCTCACATTTAGTGAATTTGGAGAATTTCAGGTGACAGAGCGAGCAAATAAGATGTGGAAAGCTGACTATAACCAAAGAAAACTAAATGTTTCTAAATCAACAAGTTTTTCAGGGTAGGAACTGTTTTATGGTTATAAATTTAACCATTCTGCAGTTTTCCCTCTAGATGCACAGTACAGCATTCATGACATTAAAGTTCAAAGCAGTTTTTAAAAGGATTTATCGTTGGATCTATAAAAGCTTGCACTTTGTAGATTTTTTTAATATCCTCAGTTATCACATGGTAAGTGTCCACGTGACTGAACCTATTTTTAGAAATGAACGCTGAAACTTTTAAGTCTTGAAACGAAACAGACTTTCTTATAGAGATCATGTTTTACTGGTTTAACTGGCCTCTTTTTACTGCTAACTGGCCTCTTTTTACTGCTGCAGCTGTGCCACAGAGGGGCTTTTATGGTTGTTTTGTGACATTTCCTGAATAAAGGTGTCTTTTGCATGATAACTCTGATGCAACTAGGCAAACTAAAAGTGTATTGGTTTTGATTAGGACCAAAAGGCAAACACGAATTTCCATTACACATAAGAAAAGATCCAATGACAACACAGAAAACTTACAGAATTGGAAAGAGGCAAACAGGACATGGAGCAATAGAGTAACAGGAGGAAGTAGAATAAAAAAAAACAGCCACAACCACAGAGCTTGTATACAGAGGGAAGGGTGAAGAGTGACAATTGATGCATGTGAGCTAATCAGATGGAGTCGGACAGCTGTGGAGGAAAGGCAAATATTTTTAGACGAAAAGGAAACCACAAAGCAGTGATGATAATATACTAACACTGACCTTGAGGATGAAGTAAAATATAGAGAATACAAAAAATTGAGTAAAGACACTAAACCTAAATAACAAACTTAGATAACATTGCCTGTCAAACAGTAATAAGCATACAGAAATGAAAAAAAAAACATTGCAAATCTGAAACGTCATAACTAATCATATCGAAACAGACATGAAGCTCTAATATAAGGAAAGAAAGTAATTTTTCTTTCTCCCTAAAAAGTTGTGCCTTTATTCCTAGTTATATTCTGAAAATAATGTTTCTTTTACCACTTATTAGTTTTCCTTACTACCAAAACGCATTTGAAAAAATGAATGACCAATTTTTTTGGTGTTTGTAGATTTCTTTACAATACCTTACTTAGAGAGATAGAATCCTTTAAAGAAGGGAAACGAATAGATCTTGTTGTCCTCTTAGAAGGGAAGCCGATTGTTATTCTTTAAATTAAAAATATACAGGCCTGGTACAGGATCCTCCAGTCATCCCTTCATTTCCTGCTGCACCATTCTAACCAGACTGTGCCTTGTGTGTAGAAAGTATGCTACCTTTGTGTTAGTCTATTTTTCACACATTTAGGCCATAAAGAAGGCTAAAGGCCACTTCGTAACCGCATATCCTGTTAGATAACTTAAAAATATTGTTGTCAAAAATGTGCATGCACGCAACAGTTTTAAATTCTTGCCACAGATTCTCTAAACGATTTAGGTCTGGATTTTGACTAGATCATTTTATCATATGACAACTGGAGGTTTAGCAGTAAATTTTGAGTAATTGTTCTTGCTTACAGGTTTTCCTCCAGTAATTTTGCTTAATCCATCTCCCAGGATGATGCCAACTCCATGTTTTGACTCGAAAATAATGTGTTTGGGGCTTTTTCACCAAACTTTCAGTAGGCCTGTTTTGTTACCTACATTTGGCTTACAGAAAACTGAAAATAGGATTTCTTTTTTTAAAATAAAGGTTTCTGTTTTAGTCACCTTCCATAAAGGTCAGATTTCAGAAATGCATAGTTGTATCCACTAATCTCCCACATGGGCTGTGTTCTCTGAAGCTATTAAGGAGTTACCATTCACCTCTTGGCTGATTTGCTGGCTATTCTTTTTGTCCAGCCTTTTTTAATGGGTAAATCCATATATTGGTTGGACTGTGGTTCTCTCTCTTTTATGGTCAGACGATTGATTGAACAGAGGCCAGTGAGATGTTCAAAGCCTGGGAAATTGTCTTGGTATAACTTTTCACAACTTTCTTATATATTTCAGCTGTGTACCTCGGTCTCCATTGAGTCCACACACAGGTTGACTCTAATGAAGTAACATTGAAGGCAATTAGTTGACCTGGATAAGAATTATGTCATGATTTTGGCGCTGATGGCTGACTTGATTGCTTATTTCATTCACCTGTCCATATCTGCCATGTTTCTCATCACTGCTCATCTGATCCTCCTGCTCTTGCTTCTATTTAAACTCCTTGGTCCCAGCAAACAGTGCCAGATTATTCTTAAACCTTTTGGTAAGAGTTTTTCTAGCATAACATATTGTGTTCTGGTTGTCTAATCCTGACCCATTTTGTATTCGTACCTTTGAGCCTGGAAAATGTCTCTGGCATTTAAAAGAGTGTCTGATGTCAAGTAGTCTAACAAGGCCTCTGAAGCCGAGAGAAACCTTAACGTCACATGTTCCTCTCT